TATATATATATATATATATATATATATATATATATATATATATATATATATATATTATATATATATATATATGTATATATATATATATATATATATATATATATATATATATATATATATATATATATATATATATATATATATATATATATATATATATATATATATATATATATATATATATATATATATATATATATATATATATATATATATATATAGTATATATATATATATATATATATATATATATATATATATATATATATATATATATATATGTATATATATATATATATATATATATATATATATATATATATAATATATATATATATACATATATATATATATATATATATATATATATATATATATATATATATATATATATATATATATATATATATATTATATATATATATATATATTATATAATATACCATATATATATATATATATATATATTATATATATATATATATATATATATATATATATATATATATATATATATATATATATATATATATATATATATATATATATACATATATATATATATATATATATATATAATATATATATATATATTATTATATATATATATATATATATATATATATATATATATATATATATATATATATATATATATATATATATATATATATATATACATATATATATATATATATATATATATTATATATATATAATATATATATATATATAATATATATATATATATATATATATATATATATATTATATATATATATATATATATATATATATATATATATATATATATATATATATATATATATATATAGTTATATATATATATATATACTCACACACAGAGATAGAGAGATAGATAGATAGATAGATAGATCTTTATTGACCACAAATGTACATGGATATATCATCGAAATAGATAATATAACAATACAAGTAATCAAACAGCTTCCTATAGGGACATTGAAGCTTAAAAATATGTAGTCCATAAAATTACTGAAAAAAAATCTCAGGATAACCTAGAACATAATCGTTAAACTCATTTAAATAAAATACAAATATAAAACCATTACCTTTTATTTACTTACAAAAAGAAACAATAAAAACTAAATTGTGATTATTACACAGCAATCATGATAATCATTAAGCACATGAAAAATGAAAACAAAAAGAACGAGCCAATAAAAAAGACAACCTAAGACTTTTTGATGTTAATGACCTGAGAAATCGTCAGGATGAACTATTAATGGACACACAACCATTAGGAATATAAATATGTATCAAATAAACAAGAAGTGGAATAGAATGAAGAACATTAAAAATCAGAACAAAAACATAATTAGATATAAAAGATAAAAAAGTTAAAACGAGACAACACAAAGACAGCCTAAGAACTAACCAAAAACACATTAAGAACAAAAATATATAGCAATTAAAACGAGAAGTGAGTTAAAATGAGGTTACTTTTTAAAAAGACCGGGGCTCATATTCTCGAAAGACGTATTTACTGTAACTTTCTAAAAAAGGGTTATGTATACACTACCATAATTTCATGGCTAATTTTCGCAGCGTTATCTACATCTTTCACCATTAACTGTCGCCATGATCTAACGTAGTATTTGTCTCTAAGTGGCTGGATGAGAGGACACGACTCTGTCACGTGCAATTCCGTTTGCACGGCACCGCACAGGCACAGCCGCTCCTCCAGGGGAAGGCGCCCCCGGCTCCGCCGATTCCAGCGGCCTGTTTCTATTGCCAGATTATGGCCACACACACGGAGTCTGGTAAAAGCTACTCGATGAATTTCTGTGACATACTTTCTCGCGCTATACATACCGTGTAAGTAAAACTGGGGTTTAGTGAAGCGTACGTCATCTTACGAGATGCATTAGACTCTGCAACTGATTATTTAATCAGAGCCATTGAGATGCCTACGTCATCAGTGTCATTCGAAACTAGATCTCTTATAGTTCGGCTTGTAGGCGTATTAGCTTCTAAAGCCAGCTTCACAGCATAAACCCAAGGATCGTCCACCATTTCTCTCCTCTCATTCCACATCTAAAAACTTCCGTTGGCTATGGGTCACGAGCGCCTGTAAACGTGGCATGCTTAATTCGAGATAACACGCGTTGCAAGTTGACATGCACACACCAAGGAGCTGTTTAATCCCCCAATTATATAACAACAACAGGTTTTAAGCTGCCGTTCACCCAAGACTCCCAACCGTAAAGTACGGATGACATGAGTGCGGCTTCAAAAAGTCTCCTCTTGACATAGAAAGGGATGTCTGCACTCTTTCTGATAAACGAAATGAACTTAAGAATATGGTACATCTTGGTCTGTGCATGTGCACCGATGAATGATGAGATGCAACCGTCGCTAGTGAATACGCTGCCCAAATACACATATCCCTCGCACCACTTCACCGTCATTCCGTCCACAAAGAAAGGCGCCAGCTCATCACCTCTAGCATTGATAGCAAAAAAAAAAATTTTCATGTTGATTATCATGCCGTTAGTGTTGCAGAATTGACTAAGCAATAATTTGCGGGCCATTCCATCCCTCGAGGTGGACAAAATGACAGTGTCATCCATCAACACCAACGCGTGGAGCCACGATAGAAATCCTTCACACTCGCAACTTTCTCTTAACAGTTTGATTGATTAGATCATTAATGAATAAGACAAAAGGACGCACGACGTGGGCGACCCCTGCCGTACCCCCACGGTTGCTGTGACGATGGCCGTGCCAACGACGCTGCGTGTGACGTGATACATGGCGACCAGGGCTGCCAGCATCACCGCGCCGCACCCCAATCGCCTTAATATACTAAACAGAGTGGTTCTTGGAACACGATCGTACGCCTGGCTAAAATCAACGAACATTACATACAAGGTGAATTTCTTTCTTTTAGCCACATCAAGAAGTAAACGTAATGTCACAATATGTTCAATGCAAGCCCCGTTTGGGCTGACTGCCTGCCTGCTCTCGTTAGGGTATAAACCACTGACTGATGCGATTACACAATACCATGTCATATAGTTTCGCGATTACGTTCATTATATTTATTCCTCTATAATTGGCAGGAACCAGTTTGTCACCACGCTTAAAAATGGTTACTAATTTTGCTAACCTCCATGTTGAGGGATAGCTAATAGTGATAGACAGGATCCATTGCGGGGGCAACACTTTAAGAAGACCTGGGCATAGACCATCAGGTCCTCCTGCTTTATCCTGTTTTAGGCGTTTTATGCAAGCCTCTGCCTCCGTTACTAAAATAGCATCATCTAAAATAGGAATTGTTACAGGAATGGCAACAGCTTCGCCACCAGCATTACCAATGTCATCAATGTCAGGGGGATTATAAAGATC